GTATTTCCCCCTTCCTGATTTCTTCTTTTTTTGCATATTTGTCACATATTTAAAATCAAATACATTTCAATATTAGACAAAGATAACCCAGAGTTTGCATGTTCTCCCCGGGTCTACTCCAGCTTCCTCCCACAGTCCAAAGACATGCAGTCAGTGGGGTTAGGTTACTTGGAAACACTAAATTGCCCATAGGTGTGAAATTGGTTGTCTCTGTCTTTGTATTAGCCCTGCGACAGACTGGTGACCCATTCAGGGTGTACCCTACCTCTCGCACTATGACAGCTGGGATAGGCTCCAGCGCCCTCCACGCGTACCCTGAAAAGGATAAGCGCTAGTGAATGGATGGACAAAGATAAACCCAAGTAAACACAAAGTGCAGTTTTTAATCCAAAATTTGGAGTTTTTTGAGCCGTTCAGAGGTAGACTTGCTGGTGTGTCTAGGATCATTGTCCTGCTGAATAACCCGAAATCATTTGATGGCCAGATATTCTCCTTCAGGATTTAATTGTAGAGAGCAGAATTCATGGTTGCATCAATTACAGCAAGTGGTCCAGGTCCTGAAGCAACAAAGCAGCTCCAGATCGTCACACTACCACCGCCATGTTTGATTGTTGCTCTGATGTTTTGATTTGATTCCTTAGGGATCATCAAGATGTTTGGCGGTTTTTCCTTCTTTTGTACTTTTTGGTCAGCAGTGGTTTTCACCTCGGAACTTTCCCATGGATGCCATTTTTGCCCAGTTTATTTCTTTATTTGTTTAATCGTGAAGACTGAACTTAACTCTTCAAGATGTTATTCTGGGTTCTTTTGTGACCCTATTTTGGTTGTGCAGCCAATCCTGGGATTCTCCACTGTTATGTTATCTCCATTGTGGACAATGGCTCTCACTGCGGTTCTCTGGAGTCCCAAAACCTTAGAAATGTCTTTTTAACCCTTTCCAAACCGATAGATGTCAATGACTTTGTTTCTCAGCTGTTTTTCTTTAGATTGTGGCATGAGGTGTTGCTTTTTGAGATTTTTTTAGCCGACCTTATTTTTTAAGACACAGTCACACAGACACGCTGGATTCAACAGGTCTGGCAGTAATCTTTCCTGGGTGTAGCTAGTGAAATTGAACTCAGCTTTCCAAAAAATGTATTTAATCAAAGTTAATTCAGGATTTAACAAAGGGCCAAAATTTGTCTTTTTCACATAAAACAAGGTAATACATGAAAGCATCATTAAAATACTATATCCTGGACTTACTCGGGTTGTCTTTGTCTAATATTATGTTTTGGTTTTAGGTTTTTGATGAGCATGTAAGTGCGAGAACTGTGCAAGAAAATGAAAACTCAGGAAGGGGAAAATACTTTATAAATTGATTTCACAATGCAGTTCTGGCTTCTACAACATAATAAATCTCTTTGGGAGAAAATAAGTCTTAATTCCACAAACACAAACAAGAAAAGAGGCTTTTTGTTCTCCAGGAGTTGTCGGTATCTTTTCATTGGTAACAAAAATGAAACAACTGAATGAATCATAAAAAGATGCCCAGGGATAAAAAGAGACAGAAAACAGGACCGAACTTCAATCGGACACCGACTCAGTGAAGAGAGCTCCAGAGAGGGTTAAAAGCAACGTCCAGCTGACTTTTTTCTAACAGACCGAAAAAAAATTTTTTATAAACTGTTGCAATTCAGTTAAAAAATTGAATTGCACAAATAGCTAAAAGAAAGATTCCAGTGCAGTTTAAGACTGTTGAACCTGAGCCAAAAGAACTCAAAGCATCCAACAGCCTCATCTGCACCATTCACAGTTTCTCATCCCCAAAACTCTCGAAAACTAACAGTAACATGAATTTAAACTGAACATTTCCCTGAAGCTTTTGGTCATCCCCCCAGGACACAAATAAAATGTAAATTCCTGTAATGTGCATTTATATTATTACATTAAAAAAGTTCTCCTTCTTGGAACACTGGGGGGGAGAAAAGTGTCAAGTCTGCAAACTTTTTTTTCCATAATCTCACATCCTGCTGACAGCATTTATTAGTCCAAGAGGATACAGGCTATGTTTACCATTTTGTACATTCTCAGTGACTGCTCAGCAAAAGCTGAATTGTGTAATGTAATAAGCAGTTCAGCCACTGGGGGATGCTAGTGGAGCTTTACAGTTTGTATGAATAATTACACCATATTTAAAGGAGTTGACACCAAAAATTTATAAGATGGCATCTAAGAAGGCGGTCAGCTTTAGATATATTTACAGATCTTATATATTGCACTGTCCCTGCCTTATTTTTCTAAGGCACAGTAAGAGCACGGTACAGAAGATATAAAAGCAATGCCCTTAAAAAAGAAAAATCCGAGCCAGAACACCAGAAAGTTTTCAACTTAAATGATGTATGGCCCAAAAGTCTCTTTCCATTGTCTCTCAGCTCAGTCCAGATGGCATGTAATCCTCTTGTGAATTGTAGTTTGTGTTGTAGGTTATGCCTCAGTCTTTCATTCCCTCATCCATTGTGCCTACTGTACCAGCCCTGTCTCATTCCACATCAGCATTCATTGTTCCTTGAAAGTAGCTGTGACATCCATGTACTCTTATTTGATGTCTGGCTAGGATAGTGAGCTTGATCCCATTATGTGTGAAATGCATTCAGTTCCAGGAGGGAAAACAAATTCCCTCAAAGCATCTTGCATGTTTTTCCCCCAATTTCCCCCTCCCTTCTTTCTTTGAAAAATGATACAAAAGGCAGCTCAGAACAGACCGTTTAGCTGTGAAAGAGAGACTTAGTGATTTGCTGCTAACAGAATCTCCTCTCTTTTTGTCTTTCTGTGTCTCTCTCATTCTTACGTTTGCGCCTGTAGTGGTAAGACTGTGAAGGATGATAGCACTAAAGGCGAGGCGGAGGTGAAGAATGCCACAGCTGAAGTGAAGACAGTTCCCAACGAGGCTCCTCAGATGAATGGCAACGAAAGTAAAGCGTAATCTTCTCGGCCGTGAGCAGCAGGAAGAAGAGGGCACGTAGGGCTGGGAGGGTTCGGGTTGTTGGGTTTTAAGGTTAAAAGGGGTTGGTCACAGTCACTGAAACCTCAAAGCAATTTCACACACCACCCCGTTGCATTAGAAAAACCAACAAGAAGCAACTGAAAAAAAAAATTAGAAAAAAGAAAACCATTGGTCTCTTTCTCTTTCTGCAGTGTCTTCTGACCAGGAATATGTAAAGACCTCATGCACTTGCCTTAGTTCCTTTACATAAGTTTACCTGTTTATTTGTCACAAAAAAAAAAAATAGATCTCTTGTAATTCACCTTCTTTCTTTGACTTAATATTAAATTGATCAGCGGTGAAGAATCGACATTTTCCTGTAGATAAACATGGTTGGACTGTAGCTTTACTTCACTGATTACTGCCTTCATGATGTACACACATGTAAGTCATGTACATTACCGATACTACTATTGTTTATGCAGTATGGTCATCATCATGGTAATGCATTATGAAAAAATGGGTCTTTTTTTTTCTTCTGTCGATATTTTTTGTGTTTGAATAATATGCAGATAAACTGCCTATTTAGCTTTTTTTTATGTGTTATTTCCAGTGCTAGAGATTAGAACATTAGCATGCCTGATTTTGCAAGTTTACTGTATTTCTGTATGTGTTGCTGTCATTTGGTTCATATTCACTTTTTTTGTTTTTGTGTGTTTCTGGTCCAGATGTAGCCTAAGCCATGATAAATGAAAGAAAACACCAGTGAAAACTGTATCATGCTATAAGTACTACTATTAATTGGTTTCAACCCCGTTGTCCTAAAAATTTATATACAGCAATCTAATGTTTTTTTACAAGACACATAGCTAATGCATGCTTACAAATTATTTTATAGATTTGCTCCGAGTTAAGGGCAAGTCTATAAGCAGTGCATTATTTGAATTACACGCATCAACACGTTTGGGGTAAAATACAGAGAAAATACAGTGATCATGCATACATTTAGACTGAATGTATTTGTGCAACCTATTATTAAGTTGCTTATTAAGTGTATATAAACTTACGTTTCAGGAGACAAGTTGGGTTTAAATTAAGCGGTGACAGTGAAGAATACAGAAGAGTACAAATGTGTTTCTTTGCAGTGATTGCATCTCTTAAAGTCCAGCTTTCAAGGCTGGATGAAGTCTTGTTTCGAAGAAGAATTACTACCTTATTTTTGTCTGAATTTGGTGAAAACTTCTGTTGCGTACTCGATATCATCAGTATCCTAAAACCCACTAGTCATCTATTAATACTGTTTTCGCTCTTCACCAGCTCAAGCAAGTTAACATGTGACCAAATGTAATAGATGGATTGATCATTGATTATATATTAAATAAATGGGATCAATGGAATGGGATGCTACAGGATGTAAATAATGGAAATCTGACTTATGGCCACTATTTCTTCTGGGTAGTACTTAGGTAAATTAAGCTATACAGATAGATCTGCAACTAATATTTTACACTGTCTGCTCTCTACCTTACATTGAAAATAATGCAACTTCCTGTGTATTTTTAGTCTCACTGTTTGACTTCAGCAAACCATTAGTTTTAGTCCTTGTGAGTTTACCTTGGAAGCAGTATATAACAACACAAACCCATTAACGTTTTTAGATTAATGGAGGAAATTTACCTTTGCCTCCTTTTCTCTCACATGCTGTCACCTCAGTCTCCGTCTCCTTTAAGCATTCTTGACCAGCTGTTTACATGACAGCTTTGGGCTTAAATGTGACTCGGAGGCCAGATGTGTTCAGTTCAGTTTGTTTGTTTGAACTTTAGCTTAGGGTTGTTGAATATTTGACACCGATTTGTCTTGACTGGGCTAACCTCCATCACTCACCGGGAGATTCAAAAGCTCGGCTTGTTTAGATCTGCTTACCTGTCAGTGATTTAACCGTCTAATCGTCTCAGCTGTTGTTTTTACACTTGCACCACAGCTGCACTCGGTGTGAGCTTGTGTTACCACTGCATTTACCAACAAAGTCTAGTTGCTGGAAACTTTATTAAAAATGTCTGAAGGTTTGTAGATGAGTTGGTTAAGTGATCATCTTGATCGGTCTATAATTGTAACTGCTTCTTTCTATTAGGAAACCTAATATCAATCATTCTCTGATCATTATGGAAATTTGTGAGCATGTACAGTACAAAGACATAGGCTGCTTGTGCATAGAAACCCATACCATAAAGCTCCCGGTGCACAGATTTTGTGTTAATGCCAGAGGAGGTTTTAAATTCTGCAGTTATTGAGTCAGCAGAGCATTGGCAGCATTTGCACTCTATGCGTCTCAGCACTCTGCTCTATAACTTCATAGGGTCTGCCAAGTCATGGCTGAGTGGCTGTGGTTGCAAAACCTTTCCACTTACAGCTTATTGGGGGAAAGGGAAGAAATTTCGCAAACTGACTTGTTGCAACGGTGGCATCCTATTACAGCACCACGTTCAAATTGAGCGAGCGCTTTAGAATGACCCATTTTTTCACAAATGTTTCTAAACCAGACTGTGTGGCCAAGATGCTTGATTTTATACATCTGCAGCAGTGGGTCTGAAAACGCCTAAATTCACAGATTTTTTTTAAACCAATAAAAATATCCGATCTGTCACAGACCGTAAGGATTTCTAAAGAAAAATGTGATTTAAAAACCTGGATTAGTGACTTGAAATGAATGTACACTCTAACCTTTTCAGCAAATCTTAACGAACTTGGCCTCTTTTAAGCAGGAATTAAATGTATCCTTGGAAATGAAAGATCTCGTCATATGTTTAGAAGTTCACCGAAAACATTTTTTTCCACACTGCTATGGATTCGAAAGGTAATGAGACTGTGTGTGACCTTTTTTGTACAGTGTTCCTCCTACTTTAGGCTGCAAGCTAGTACACTGAATGTGTGAAGCCATTGAGTCCTTTGTCATAGAGTTGAAATAGCTTGTGAAACATGTAGCTGATAGTATGCGGCAGAATTAGCAACACCGATGTACAGAAGTCTGACAGCAGCAAACTGGAAAGACACAGTGCCTTTAAATATGAAAATGTTGGCATGCGATCAGTTTCTTTCAGTGTCTGCATTAAACATTTCACATCTCCATTTCCCTGCTGATTTGCTTTTTCATTTACTGCATTTGATTTGTTAATTAAGCCGAGCTTTGTCGTCTCATAAAAGTCTTAAATGGCTGTATCGTTGTGTTATTATGAGTGCTTGCAGTGTCCTTGCTGAAGGAGAATTCTGGTTTATTATAATTTGGTCTTGTATACAGTATTTATGTTTGGTCATCACTTCTGTCATAATAAATGGAAATTTCAAATGCCTAAATACACATGTGGTGTAGATCTTTATAATTAACCTCCTGTCATAACTAATACAAGTCAAAACTGTAATAAACTGAACTGGGGGGAGGGGCGCAAACTGAGCTGCAATCCTTGAAAACTTGCACCATATTACAAAGATGTTTCGTAAACACTGACATTGGAGTACAAGGCACATTGACGCTCAGGTCTCACATTCTCTATAATATTTGAAACACATTTGTCTAAAGCAAGCATGCAACATATATTAGAAGGATACTACTACGTAATCACTTTTGCTATGTAAAAACTATTTATGGCTTAATGAATTGTATTGACCCCGTGTTGTGTAACTTTGTCCTGTTTGCGCAATTTTGCTTCAAAAGAAACGTGATTTTCTTGCACAGCTTTGAATTGTAATTTTTTTAAAAGGGTGCGGTCTCATGACCAAACCTCACTGTTTCCCCTGTGAAAGTATTGTACATGAAAACTTTTTCCACTCCAGTCCCACTTTCATTTGTGAAGTCACATCGGGTGAGCCGGAGGCCTTTGTTCAAAGCCTCAAAAATACAAGAACGACACAGAAGCAGCCTTGGTTTTTTCCTTTGACTCCACCACTTGATTCAGTAAGAATAAAGACATCTAGTTCTACTCGAGGAGTTTTTCAGGTTTTCAAAAAGATGAAAAGCATCCTTTCAAGGTTCTCTATCTCACAGAGAATAGAATAAATCCCCTGCACACAAATGTCTAACCCCAAACTTCTTCCTATTCAGTCAGACAGGAGCCTTCAGCTTCCACTGCCAACACTGGTCACTCTCTTTGATCCAGAGCTCCCTATTCTTTTTTTTTTTCTCTTATGCTTTGTGTGTGTGTGTGTGTGTGTGTAAACATCAGCTCTATGCTGCAGGTAAAAAATTTGTAGGCTGCCACTCTTCTGTCTGTCTGCCCACTGTCGCAATTGTAAATACTGAATACTAACTGAGGCAAAAAACAAACAATCTGACCTTGCATTCTGCCGGAAATTTTGTGTTCAATAAAATTAAAGGAAAAATGCATCTTGTTAAGATTTTTTCTTTCATACCAAGAATTGTGCAGACACGCATGATGGGATGCTTACTACCTTGTTTGCATATTTAAACATGCATTTTAGAAAACTTGCAATGCAAAAATTGTTCTTTATGTAAGTAACCTAGAAAAGTTCACCGGTGATATCTGTTAGTCAAATGTTTGTCAAAGAAGACTGAAAGTTACAGTTAAGATTAGTTATCACCTTCATGATTTGAAGGTAAACACCTTCAAAGCAGTGGCCTGTATTTTAAGGCAATAATTTATCGAGCAAAATTTCTTTTGATCTTTTAAAGGAGGAAAATGTGGCTGCTCAGCGACAGGGCCTTGAATTTTATTCTTATTAAACATTCCGAGAATTGTATTAAAGTATTTTCATAGTAGGAAAAAATAACTAAATCGCCACAGCAGATGGTTCCGCGTGTTTACGTTGGGAATTTTTTTACGATGCCCTTTCTTGACGCAGCCACAGAGGGATCTGCATCTTCTCCCAGCATCAGACTGGGGATATTTGACTTGTAAGGCAAAAATGTAAACCATTATTGTAGCCAGCTGCCATGTTCATGGTCAAGAAATTCACTACTACTGCAACTGATTTAAAAACACTTACCTAGAATTTATTTTTTAATAAGCTTTTTGTTGTTGTAAATAATTATATTAATTATTAATTATATTTAATATATAACATACAAAGGGAGTATTTGTGTTAAAGTATTAATATTTGTAAATACTGTATGTTTATATACTAGACTTGTCGCAGTAACATGTTAAATACTGGATTAACAGAACATAAATGTTGAGTAAATAAAATACATTTACAGAGTATGGTGAATGCTGCTGCAAAAGACCTTAAAATTCAGTTTGTCTTTAAATTGCTTACATTATTAATGTTTTTTACCTAAAAAGAAATATCCACTCATTTATGAACATAAAAACAGCATTTTTACTTAACACCTTATATTAGCTGGGAGTTTTTACATGGATGAAACAGAAACATTAGTATTTTTTTTCTTTTTCCTCTCTTCTTTGACATATGAAACACTCATGCTGATAAACTTCTTGTTACAAGAAGAAATACCCATTGACATACATTTATACACTACATCAGACCCTATGCAGTTCTCTATAATGACCATTAGAGAGCAGTATGCTCCCAAGCTTGAAAATGGACCTGACGCTAAACAACTAAATCACAGTATGATTTAGTTTACAAGATTAGTGACACTACATTATTTTCTGTAATTAACATAATATTACTCTATTATCTGTTAATGTCTTTATAAACTAAATAACTAGATATTGTCGATTTCTCACAACAATAGGACATCTAATGTTAAACTCTGTTCCATTTTAGTACTAAATTAACAGCAGACACATTTTAATGAATGTTTGTGGGACTAATTAGACCTTTACCGTCTAAATAATCAGACTTTCCTCAGTAGTTCTTATGGATATTAAATGATCCTATGTTTTCCAAAAGGTGGCAGGCTAACTCAAGAAATGTTGAGCAAAAGCAATCAATACATGATTAGAATGTCTTTAAATCAGAAATGTTGAAGGAATACAAATCGCTGTAAATAAAATCAGTTCACTAACACTAATGAGGTTTATGTTAGACTGGTAAAAGATGCAATGTGGAGTTGAGCTGTTTTTGTATTTTACACTTGAGGTATGTTTAACTACCCTAATGTATGTGTGTGTGTGTATGTGTGTGTGTATATATATATACATATACACACACACACACACAAGTACAAGTTTACTTGTACTAGATTATTTGTGGTCTGTGGAAGCGCTAGTTACACCCTAGTAAAAAAAGTCCAGCATTTAAACAAAGTTGTGAAGCTGTGATTCACAACAGTATGCAGGTCCGATTTTCAAGTGGTTTATCAGAACCAAATATCAGCTACATAAGTAATATGACTCTTCAAAGCTCCATATCATCCCGTTTCTCCTTTTCTGTAGAGATCATTCCACTCATCTGCTCAACTTTGCACTCACCAGATTAGGGGGCTTTTCAAGGGCTCTGTCCCTCCCCCCTTTCTATAACAATGGTCCAGTGTGGTTTTCATTGGCCTGGGATTGATCCCATACACAGATAACTACAAGCACATAGCCTAACCTCGTGGCTACTACCTGTCTGAACACACATTTAATTCTGCCGTCACGCACACACAGCCTTATAATAGTGAAGCCATGTGTTAAGCTGATTGGTACGCACCACACCTATCTCTTGTTTAGAGAGGACATTAGTCAACGTGTGGTAATGAGTTAATTAGTAAAGTGGTTGAGTCATTTATGTAGATTTTTGTCTACCTTTTGTCATTGTCAAAGTTTCCATTTGCAGCACGTTTTAAGCATTAATTGCTGTCCGAATGGCACAAGTGAGAAAATATACAACTGTGGAGATGACCACACATTGTAAAAGGTCTACCTGGATGATTGAGCGTGCATCAAGATACTCGGGCCTGTGGGGGACAACAAATGAGCTAACACTAAAGACTGAGCACATAAACATCTTACCGTATAAGCTTGAGAAATTGAATAGTGGTCATCAACAACCCAGTTTTGGGGTAATTTCCTTACAAACCTTGGGAACTTTTTCCTTCTGGATCTTTTTAGAAGAGTTTATTGTTAGGATACCTGGTGTCCTGGTGATTTAAGGCACAATTTCACAGTGAACTCACTTGCCACACAGATTCAAAGCAATCAGCTTCTTCTCTCTTTGTGAGATTTCCTGGCATTTTTCTCCATGTTACTAATTTCGATTTATTCTAAAGTGCAAATAGAATTTAACCACAAAAAACAAGAAATTTCACATTCAGATATGCGCATATATGTGAGAAGCATCTGAAAGTGTTCAAATGTTTCCCTGATTGCTTCTGACAGTGCCTGTCTGCAGTAGCGATTTGAGCACGATCTGGGTCTTTGAACTGCCTTGGAGCCCACCCTCGGCATAAGCATCAATATAATGTTCCCCAAACAGAATGCCGGTAATATTTTGTGCCAAAAGATAGAATAATTTTCCAAAATAAAAGCCTGTAAATTGTTGTAAACAATCAAATGTATTCACTGGAGATGGAATGATTTGATGAAACAGAAGGCCACGCTTCTCATCATAGTCAGCTTTGTTGAGCAGATTAGAATGCAGTCTGAATGTACCAGACACTGAGCCTCGGTTTGTTTTTGAAATATACAGAAGCAGATGTTTGCACAGCAGATTCTCTCTCTCTTTTCTCATAGCTTTCCTTTCAGATTTTTGAGACGTATTTGTTTTTTGTCATGCAGAGCCACGTTTTGGTCTTCTCATTTCCAGGCTGTTCCTGTCTTGTTCCTTTTTCTTTTGCCTCAGCACAGGGTCAGCCAGCCATGAATTCCTATCCAGAACACTCTGCTTCATCTCTGCTTCCCAACCTCTAAATCACATCGGTGTTACATCATAGCACACAGAGACACACGCGCATAGACACACACGCACACAAACTCACACACTGTGGCCACCATGCCAAGAACTTTTCTTCTCATACAATCCCCGCCCCCCCTCTCCCAAACTTTCCTTGTGAAGAGTCATCTACATTTTTAAGCCAATCTTTAACCAAGAAGAACCTGTTTTTATTGTGCTATGATTTTTGGATGGACATTGAGTACTTTTGGTTTAGATGTGCTTTTGAAAAGGCAGTACAGGGCAATAGGCATGTGTTTAATTAATCTTTTGAGTTAAATAGTAACAAATAGGAATCAACAATTGGGGGGGGGAAAGAAAAAGTCAGCGACTGAAGAACTGAGTTCTCCAAAATTCAGCTTTTATTTCATTCTTGAGTAATCGTAAAACGTTTAAAAGCAGGAAGAAGTATTTTTTATTTGTTTAGATGTGAGGTAATCTTTATATTTTTATTTCTTTCAGTCTTTGAATTTGGCCAAACCAAATCAAAATACAATAACTAGGAGCTGAGTAAAGTAGCAGAATATACATTAGATGGACAACAGATTTCATCATTTAATCCTATTTGTACTGCCGTAAGTCACTTCCAGTATGCACGCATGCTGGAAGGGAAAAAAGCCATTCTTTACAGTAAGATCTTGTAAACTTTATTTCTTTATTTTGTTTTTTAGTAGCATTCAGCAGACAGACAGCTGGTACAAAAGATGTTTGATATGCAGACATGGATACATTGTGCACAAATAATCAGTTTTTATCAGGTTTTTTTGCACTGGGGAATAAAGCGTGACTGATACTCTGACACTGGGAAAATAACACGCTAAAAAGAAAAAATGACAAACGACCCAAAGAGCTTTCCAGATCTCTTTCAGCAACTTTCTCTTTTTGCTATGAGCTCTT